CAATTGTGACGCGTCGCCTCTCGCACGCACTCAAGGCCTCTTTTATTCTCCCCCTGGGGGTTTTCGCGGTCGGATGGACGCTTATTTCCGCTCTAAGAAGGCCGATGACGACGCGTATACCTGAACGACTCGAGGGATACGCTTAGGATGGAGGGGTGAATGACGCGGTTGACAGCGAAAGGAACTTTTGGGCGGATGATATTGGTTCCCTCGGTTCTAGGGAGATGACTTTTACCTTTTTTTTCTCATTTTTTTTCTTCTCGGCAAAAAGTAAAAGAAAATCAAAATAAGATCGATATCACACGCGCGATTGTTCGAAACATCGGGGTAAAAGTCAAAAACCGAAACAGGGGCGCTTGTGTCACGGGGAGTGTGTGTGCATGCACGTTCACGAAGCCGCAAACGAGGCTGCGAATAGCTCCCCTGACTTGAACCACCGGTGGGTAAATTTATCGAGCCGTAAACACGAGGCGTTAATCGTCGAATGCCGCAGGGAAGAGAGCAGCCGGGGCTTAATTTATTCGTCAGTTTGGCGCGGGCGGGTCTCGTTTCGCGGTTGTTGGGGGCGGGAAAAAAAAAGAGTAGGGCGGTGTCGGAGGGACTCGGAGACAGTTGCAACTACCGCCAAGTACTTTGCGAAACTTTGTCTCGACTAAGTAAGTGGCTCGCCACAACCTGCCGGTAACTCCATTGCGTTTTTTTTTTCTTTTTTACGCGTACGTACAGCATAATATACAGTATATAGAAGGGGGAGAACTAGACTCCCTGGAGCATATTTAAGTGCACGTGTACATGCGCGCTCGTATTTTAGGCACTGCGGAGCCGAGCCTCTGATATTAAAGGCACAATCCGCGCTTGAATTTCATATCGAGAGAAACGTCGAGTTGGTAGGTACATCTGCTTTTTTCTACCATAGCCTTCGTATTTCCAATACCTTCACTGTCGGGCATATTATGTATATTGCGAAAATTTAATGTCCCCGGAAAATTTGTACGAATAAGTACGTATTTTTGTTTCTTACTCCAAGGAACTCGAGTAAGTCGCGTCGCCGTGGAAAGTTGGTAAACTGATTGTGCGTTCCCTTTCAAGAAAGAGAGAAGATGCACTTCCACGTTATAACGAGGTTCGTTCGAATTAAACTGCATTACCTACCCCCGGGGGTTCTTACATCGATCGTCATCTTCTTTCTCCCGCCCTCGAACTTTGTGCTTCGTAACTGGCATCATCCGACATCTTTGACACAACCTCTTGTTTTACCTACATAGCGAATGAGAATCGATACCTACTTTGTGCGGCTCAAACGTTAACTTTGCAAACGGACGATGCGCCGCAAGTACGGCCAGAGAGTGTCTTATACTTACTCTCTGATGATACGCGTTCCCATGAACTTTTTGGATATTTCGCTCTGGTACTCGGGACCTTTTGCCACGACTGCTTGCTTTGGTTCTTAAAAATAAAGGCATACCGTCGTCATCTGCCTTCCAAAGTTACCCAAAGCTTCCATAAGACGTAAAATTAGCGCTAATCGCCGGAAAATTCGAGCAAATGCGAAAGAAAAGGAACGAAACTCTCCGCTTTCTCGAGCGAAGCAAAGCAGCTCTGAAAATAATTGGCGCGCCACGGAAAAGCCCCAAAAGAGCGAACTAATGGAGACTCCTCTCGTAAAGACTTTTCCATCACCAAAGACATTTCATTTAATTCCACGAGAGCAAAAATACTCTGTTTCTACCGAAAGAATAAACATACAATCAAAGGGTAGTCGGTTCGATGGGCCAACCCGAGCGTGAAAACGCGCGATTAGTCCCGTTGTCTTTTTTTATTTCCCCCGTCGTGGGAGCAAAGGCTCCGTGACCGCGAGGTCTTTTCCGGAAAGGGAAGATCGATGGCACCCGGACAGGGGATATTCGCGGAGCTCTGATTAAAACGGTCCGCTCTCCGTGTACCACTCCGATCCCTTTTTTCCCTTTTTTATTTCAGCGATGCATCAGATACGTCACACTGCAAGCTGTTTATTTTTAACGCATAGGTCTTGTCGACATGACCGAAGAACACGTATTTAATAGACGACGAGCATCAGACCTTTGCTCCTGTCGTTATGTTGTTAAATATGTACAGGCGGCACACTTTGTAAGCTGCTTTCCCAAAAGCACTCAAACATCTCCAAAGAATGAGAGAGTACGGAGGAGCATTCAGTTGCGCCTTACCAATGCGGGCGTAATCTACTTAAAGTAACTATAACTCCCGCCAAGGAAAATCTTAACAGAGTGCAAAATATAACGTGAAAGTGCACTCGAAGAAAGTTACAGTGCATACGCGTACACGAGACCTGAGTTTTCCATAACTATTTTTTTATTTTTTTTTTATCTCAATAAATAAACTTGGGGTGAGCAGTAAATGTGCTTTAAAGGATCCATCCCGGGTCCATTAATCATCACTCTAAAAGCGTGTGCTCCCTATCGCAGTGGCCCGTCCATTGGTTGGCGCGATAAATAAAACACCCGGACCCATAAATCTTTCCGCGCATGGAGAGCCCGCAAAAGAGGTGTCCCGCAGCAGTGGTAAAAGGAAACGCGGAAATCGCACGTATATATATATATACCACCCGTGAGTGTATATTACGCCCGGAGCTCCGAGGCGTCCGTATTAAGTGGCCGAGCTTCCGGCTTGTTGTACGTCGGGGGTCGCTGCTTGCGAGTGACCGGTGACACGCGCGGGGACTTCCTTCCGCTCTCTCTCTCTGCACTTTGCTCGTTAAGCCGTCCCTCTCTCTCTCGTGGAAGTGCGAAAGGAGCTTGGTGGTTGCGTGGGGTAATTTTATCCGGGGATTTATTACCCCTACGCGCGACAAATTTTCTCTCCTTCGTCCCGCGGGAAGTCTCTTCTCCGCGCTCTTGGGGTGCGTACGTACGCTGGCACGTGTCCTTTGGCTTTTGTGCGTGGATATTTCTAGAGAGGCTCTATTACGGGGGGGGGGAAGAGATTTTTTTTTCCTTCGTTACGTCAAATTACGGTGTCTACGAGTGATAAAAACTATGATTAATAAATGTAAATTGCTGGAGCTCGTAACGGAGAAAACGGGGCTACGGGGGTGATACTTGCTCACCGGATGAGTTATCGATCGCTCGCTTTTGGCTGAAACTTTCGTTAAATAAATACGACGATGATGCGCTTAGCTGATGCGCTAACCTTGGACGTCATTTTGTGCCTCGAAATTGAGTTTTGAGCGGAAAAGCCACGCGGACGGGAATTTGCGAAATTTCAAGGGAATCGATAAAAAAAAAAAAAAAAATCCAATTACAAAGTAAATTAAATCGCTGCCTTGAAATAGAGGGATTTACTATGTAAACATTTACCGACTCGATCAGTTTGTATGGGAATTACACTATTATCCAGATTACGGGAAAATGCGATCTTGAAGTAGCTCAAAGTAGAGGGGAATGATGATTTTACGCAGAGAAATTTTCCACTCTTCAGTCGCACCGTACCATTGATTCGGTGAACGTGAATATGCACGTTTCAATCTGTATCCTTCAAAAGAGGTTGAATCGTCCAAACGAGCACGCACCCATCCACGCCAATCAAACCATATAAAGTCGGGTCGATCGATCGAGAAGCACCGGCTGCAGCCCCTTATCAGTGTGAAATTAAATCCAGTCTTGACTGGATGAAAAGAGCCTCACCACGACCCCGCGAAGTTCAAATCCTCGGCACGTTTTCTCGATCACTGCCTCCATGTACACCCGCAACACACAGGTACTTGATCCACCGAGTGCCCACAAAAGCCACGTACCGTTAATTTCCATCAACGTACTTTTCCTCCCGTTTCTCTCTCATTTGCTTCTCTCATACTTACCCAAACTCGGGATATTTTTTCATCCGGCTTCCCCTGCGCCTCGAGCATGCAATCACCTTTCGTCAACGGTTCTCCATTTGGCACGAACTCTGCTTGATTTTTCCAGCCGAAGAGACGCCTTTCTTTCCGATCTCGAGTTTTTTCGTATGGAAAGTCTGGAAAAATAACGAAACATATCGTTAAAAGCGCCCATATGAGCTTAAAAAAAAAACCAATATCATGATTGCCGCGATCCTTTTCAATCGATTACCACGCACAAGCGAGAAACCCGGAAATCGAATCGTACGTTGGGATAACTGGAAAAGTATAAAAGAGAAAAATGTGCAGTGTGTACGACATGTAGATACACGGAAACTCGGGTGGAAGACAGACGAATGCCTGAGAAAGGGGGGGGGGGCAGTAGTAATCTAGGAGTTGGACACTGCGCTTTTCGCTCCTTCTCGGACGTGCTTACGGGTGTATCGGCCGTCGCGAGAGGGCTCCAACGCACAGGGTCCTCTTGCCTCCGCTTCCCCCTATACTCGTGACTGCTCGAGCAATAAAAAGGGCTGGGGGTGGGGAGAAAAAAAAAGGTCGTCCAATATCGAGTAGCGCGGAACAGCTCTCCAGCACGCAAGTCCTGGCTGAAAGCTCCCGTTGACTCCCTCTTTTTCTCCCCGTCTGGTCTTGAGATGAAGTTGCCAAGGGATGGATGGATGGACAGAGCGAGATGTGCTCGGCCGGCCGTGGCTGAACTTTCGTTTTACTTGCCTATGTGTATATATACACGTCCTTTCCTTCGCACTTTTTTTCTCGTGCAAGTGCGAAGCGAGTGAGTCTGGAAGTAGTTCGTAGCTGCTTCTACATCAGTCTCATGCTGTACTGTTCACACGCGAAATACCAATACTAAGCGGTGGTATACCCGAGCAGTACTTCATTTGTACTCTTTTCCCTTCTTTATCTCTCAGTTGTTATACCTACATTGAAACTTGAGTTAAAAATTTTCATCTCGCGTAAACTCGGTCTATTCGCGTGTATTTTTATTTTTCTTTTCTTTTAATTTAAGTATTATTGCATCGACAAAATTTTGTCCATAAAAATTGATAATGGACTAATTTAGGATTGCTCTTTTTTTCTACCAATAAATTGTTATCCTTGCCTGTTACAGGATCATGCCAGAATGCAGAGCCAAACAGGCGCCCCAACAATTTCAGGAATTCGCATGTTGCCATGGACTACAACGGCCGGAATGACGAAACGTATGTATACCCAACGACCTGTTTTGATTTCACGAGTAGATACTTACACGTCAAATCTCATCCTCCGTTCGGTGACAAGATTCATATCTCGCGTATTATAACCTCGGAAACCTCATTTTCCCTAGTCAAGTACCACTGGTACGTGCTGCGCACACAACTGTATACCCGTAGGTAACTAACAGTAACTTTCTCGGATGTAAGTTTTGATGAAAACACAAGTTCTCTCACGGATTCAAAAGCTTTGGGGATTTTAATTTCCCAACTTCAGCTGAAGAAAACGTAATCTCCGGTAAGTCGGTTAGCGGTAGTACTTCTTGGTAAAATCGGAGGAGTAACCATAAAAGTTGATCCCGCACTTACCTCGGCACTTACAGTGGATTGAATCTTGTTTCGACGACATAGACTCGAGTATGGTCCTTGTCACGCAGTTTTAATCCAATCTATTACAACCCAATTTGCCCCCTTCGATTCGATACACTGCACATTTTAAATTAATTCAAAAGGTTCGATTGTTCGCCGTACATCCATTTTGACATTTCATTCGCGATTTTCAAGGATAAAAGTTTCCCAAATATGCGCTATTACGAAAATCAAGCGTAATAAATCTAGTTGGATGCTCAATCGGCCCCTCCGTTGTAGCCAAACTATTATCATTTAGAGCCAAAAGAGTAGTATTAAGGTAACGACGCGCCCACCTCCTGAGAGCTCATCTACCAAACTCCGGTGCAGTTTTTGCACCAAGCGAGTATTGTACGTACAAAGTGTACGGTACAACTGTCTACTTCGAGCGGCTGCTTGACGGGCAAAGTTTGGAGGAACGATAGCCGTAAAACGGCGAGGAGGCGCTAAAGACTTGCCGGGATGATGCAGCTCCTATTCTCTCTTATTGCGCTACCGGAGGATGGGGTGCTCGATTATTGCTGCTTGTACTTATGTAGTGTGCGGACCGGGAGAGGCCAGTTTTTGGAAGTCATTGTTGGAAGCAGCAGCCGATGAACTTTAACTCGACGACGAGGTGGAAAATTAATTTTCTTGGCTGCTGATGGAAATTGTTCAACGCTACGTGGATGGTGCATAATAGGTACAAGGTGTGCCTTTGGTTGTTTCCATTGAACGTTTCCATTATACATTTTTCCGTGAAGCAACATTAAGTTTTCCCCTGATTAAAGAAGAATATGATGTCAGAGATCCATAATGTGTCGGTTATACAAATAATATCCGACTCATTTATACTTACATGAGTCTGACACTCACCTAGAGGTAAAGAAGCAAATTGAAGTTTTGTACACTCAGTTCTGTAGGTACGGGCTGTAGTATACATCGTAATGGGATAGAGAATCTGCATTATCAATGTTGTTCTATTAATATGACCTAGTGTATATATTATACTATGTGAATACATTTACTGTATTGTTGACAGATATAACAACAATTCAATCAGGAAATATTCGGTTAGTGTCTCCAACAACTGCCCAGTAAGTCGGAAACCACATGATTTTACTGAAAAAATTAACTGTTTCTCATCCGAACGATATCCCAGTAAATCAGATCACGTGATATCCGACTTACTGGACAAAGTTATTGGAGACACCAAACGAACATGCCCTCTGTCATATGAATAATCGAATAAATTTAATACTTAATAAAAATTAATACTTTTTAAATAGTATAATAGTATTTTGTATCAAATTTGAAAACAGTCTTGAAAGAACTTTATAATATGTATTTTCACTTGTTTAGTTGTTTTTATGCATTCCAAAATACACGATACATGTTGAAATACGTAAAATCCATGTATTATAATACGACCTCTCAAACGATATAATCTCTCGAAATTCCACTGTTCATTTCAGCTTCCCTCTTCCTTTGTAAACCAACATCACCGTTTTTTATCGCGTAGCCTTCAAATTGCTGCTCACAAAGAGCATCACTTTCGAAATCAAAAAGTAATTTTTTTTTTCCCCGGCGTTTTTATGAAACGTGAAAAACGTTATCAGAATAGTTTAATAAACCGAATAGTTTACTCACCTATTATATGCGAATAAGCTAAAATGGAACTAAATTTTTCAAACTAAAACAGTAATTTACATGAAGTGTTTAATAATTAAATATTTTACGTAAAACAAATTGAGTATTGGAGAAGACTTGACACAAATGATACTTAAGTATACGAATGTGGAAAAAATTATAATATTATAACTGAATAACGCAAACATTAGTTTTGTATTAGAAGTTTAGAATTTGTGTTTTTATAGTTCTTAGGCATGAAAAATGTGTGGGAATGACTTGTAATTTTGTCAAAGCAAAAAGTGTGTGTGCCCTGCTCATCCTCTCTAGTATCCTCTAACTGAAATCGAGGAAGACACAGAATCGCAGGGTCGAGAGTATGCATAGATATCTACGACAAAGCCGAAATGTACTGAGATGAATGAGACAAGTACAACTATACCTATCTAGGAGATTTCTGGGAGATAGGAAACGACGATAGAGAAGAGAATACATACATAAAACATGTACGAAAACGAGACCGGATGACTGGATAAAGTGAATTTCTAGCACGTAAGAGCTGGCAAAGTGATTGCAGATCATATACGAAAGCTGATTGTCGAGTGGTTATATATATAAATCAGTCGGGGGCTCAAGGATCGTGTAAGTTGATCTTTTTATTAATTAATGCTCTTTGGATTCTGTTCTCGTGGATTTGTTTCGTTGATCAATTGGATTTTCAATTTGGAGTTTTTGCCCCTTGTTCTTTGTGGGTCATTCGACGTCCCGGTGCTTGATCCCGTTTTACCTTTCCAAACTGAGTAAAAATGCATAAAAACTCTCTGATAAAACCAACAAAATGACAGTACCGTCCTTCTTTTCTGTTAATTTATATACATACACTACACGGTACACTTACTTATCATCACAAACTCCTTACGCATCGATATCTCAAATCGACGTACAAGAACAGGTACGAGTTTCCACGATCGATTGTCCGATTACAGGTGGCAGAGGCGCCTCGAGGGATCGACAAGTCCTGAGTCATCCTCGGAGGACGAGCTAGTCCCATCGAGGGAGGAGGTGGCTCGACCGTCACTAAGCCACGCGGGAGGAACCGGGAACGAAGATGGACCTCTGCTGCTGCTACCTTCGAGTCACGGGAAATTCCAGCCGGAGCTCTACAGTAAAAGTAAGGAGACGCGCAAGTTTTCACGTGCACGTGCCGGAAATGTATCTAGATATCGTTGGAGAAGTTACAATGAAACTTTGTCTAATGAAAACGAACAACTGTGATTCCTCAGATTCTCGTCAAGCGCAGAAAGACCGTCGCCGGAAGAAGCGCCGACGAGGCAAGCAGCCCTGGAGCGGAGAAACCGACGAGCCGGAGAGCGAGAACCTGGTGAACGTCGGCGGTCGATTTCGGGGGAAGAAGAAGCAGAGCGGCGAGGACGCCCCGTCATTGACCAGCAGCTCGTCGACGAACGGGATGAGGAAGCCGGGGAGTAGCAGGGCAGGTAAATACAGGGAGGAGCGTCGAAGGCGCAGGAGGAACAGGAAGCGCACGCGGAGTCGAGTGAGGCTTGAGAACAGGAGGGAGGAGCGCAAGTGGCGGGACAACCCGATTGTCAGGCTGATCAAGATACTCAACGAGCAGAAAATCGACGAGGCCAGGATGCTCAGCGAGAACCCCTTGAATCTGTCGAGCACGGCTAGATTAGCTGGCACTGCTGGTGAGTCTACATAATAAATGTTCTGCGAAGAGGGCTTTTTTTTATTATTTTCTCCAAAGTGACATTTCTTTAAAAACATGGAAATTTTAATATTATTATTCGGGATCTTGGTTCAAATATCAATTCATTTTTAATGTTTCGATTGCACGATTTTTTGCGCAACTTGCATTGTAGATGATAATTTTTCTAAGCTTCGACGACTGTACATACTTCATGTCTTTTTTTTTTCTTCTTCAGTTAAATAAAAAAAAAAATTTTGGATTAGTGTTTGTCCTTTGAAAATTTACTTCAAAAAAATGATTTATGTTTTTTTAGAAAATTCCACTAGCAGTGTATGCCGTAAAAAATTTCATTTGTGCACTAACTTTTCGGCTAAAATCTTTAATTTCAAGCTACGAACTGAAAGTTAAAGGATTACAAGCAGCCAATTCAAAAGTCAATACGAGATACCCTATAAATGATAAATATCGTATAAGTACGTAAACCACCACGTTATGGTTTACAAAAATTCCATAAAATCGCAGCACCTGCACGGGTCCCAGACGTCTTGAACGCCACCTCGTCGTCCAGCTTGTTTTCCCAGCTGACGACCGAACCACGTGTTCCTGTACTACCAGAGCCCACCATCCGATACCACAACCAGCCCAGCGACGTCGAGCGAGAGTTCTCGAGGCAAGTGGAACGTGAGTACACGCGCGCCCAGTTGACCGAGAAGTCATTGTCAGAAGAAGGCGATGAGGAGGAGGACGGTGAGGAGATCGGGGAGTCTCCCAGGTTTGACGAGCAGTACGCCCAGGTGGCAAAACAGCCCAGCGCACCATTTGACCCCGAAAGGATGCTAGGCTACTCGAGGACGGACGAGGACCTGCCGATCTTGGACATGGAGAACGAGGTACTGCAGAGGACCATCAAGGACTACAACGCCTACATGCAGAGCTCGAGTCTGGCCAGGAATAAGGTCATTGGGCCATATTTGGGTTCTTAACTGCATGTATATAATACACGTGGTTCTTTGGGGCGAGGATTGTTTTTCACGGCCATGTGCACCTCTTCAGGAGCAGGTGCAGAGCCCCGATCGTGGACAGTTCATTCCTGAACCATCCCCATCCTCGTCTTTGAGGTCAATGGAGCCCATGGCCCCACCAGAGAGCGAAGACGAGCTGCGTGGCGACCTTTCCTGCATAAATGGCACCTTCATGCCAGCGCCGCTCGTACAGCACGCGGTCATCAAATATGTTAAGTGAGTAGGAGCACCACCACCACCAATTTATTTATCTGGTCCATAAAAATGTATTGGCTATGCATTTACATAAAAATAATAACATACGAAAAAATCGCCTACTCTACCATCACCAACCGATAAATACCTCATGAGTTTAGGAAGTCTTCTGAATTGCACGCCCATCCCTTCCCCCCACCCTTCGATCGTTTAGACTCGGCGATTTTGAAATTGACTTTCTCGGGAAATGGAGATGAGGATAAATAAGGGTAGACCAGAGGAAAGACGAGCGCCTAAAGCTGCGGATCTAATTAAGACGCGCCACGGAGAATAATGGGATATCCAAGTTCGTTGTTTTTTTTCGCCAAGATGCCCTGAATAGATCCCCGCGGAATTTTTCTCGCGTTCCTGACACCACCCCAGGGGAGGGATTTTTTTCTCTCCTCCCTAATTCTTAATCTGTTTAACAAAGTTGGCTTACTCTGCGCCAGACTAGTTTCTCGTGTCACTTTGGATATTCGCTTCTTTTCAATTTTCCGGGAGTTTCCGAGGACTAAGCGAAAACTCTTGTTCAGTCAGTTGTTCTATACTTAGAACCATCACACGCGGCACTTGTTTCACCTCGTATGTACAGAGTCATGAAAAAACACGGAAATAGCAATAGATACATTTTTTCAACGAGAAAAGTGCTGTAGAGCCGAGGATACAAGTAAAAATTAAAACAAACGCAGCGTAAGTATAATACGTACACGAGACCCTGACATTCTGCCTCTGAAAAAGGTCCTCGAGCCCGAGTCCTGAGTACCTCGAGGCCGACTACGAGTGCGAACATGGCTATGATATGCTGGGCAACGGCAGCAATCGGCTACTTTGCCGGGACCGGCGCTGGATCGGTAAGCTTCCCGTGTGCAAGTATCGGGTGGACGACGAGGGTAGCTGCGCCGAGTTGGGCTGCGATCAACTGTGCAGGATTGTGGCCGGCAGGGCCGAGTGCCTCTGCCGCGAGGGATACCGTCTTGAGGATCGCAAGTGCATTGGTGAGTGTATCGTGTTGTTGTTTACAATAATCGAGATTTTGTTTGTAATTGTCTGAAACTAAAGATGTTCATTTTTCCATCATCAATAATAAGTGCTCGTGCATTGAGTATTTTATCAGGAAATCTTATCTGTTGAAATAACCGTACTCCGAAACCGAGTTTTTAGTAGAATACATCGGCATTTGATGTTATAACAATGGTCATTTACCGAATAAAACTTTATCGAAATTAATATTGATAAGTTTTCTGATATAGTAACGATAATTTTTCTTTTTAATTCAGACTTTGTATTGTATAAGTAATTGTTGTATCATTAAGAGTGTTATAATGTTTCTTTTAAAACAAAAGAAGACCTGTTTCTATAACTAACATTTAATATACTTCTCGAACGTTACATTATGCATTATCTTGATGATAACTGTTAAGGGTGAAAAAATTTCAGGTGCCTGTACAGTTTAAACAAAAAAGTTTGCTTTCTTCAAGCGATACCAATGTATTTTCAGCACCAGCCTAGCATCCAAACATTTTAAGAAAACTGATAAAAAGCTAAAAACAATTGCTTGTATTTAAAGTGAAGAAGGATTTTTTTTAATCCACGATTTTAATTTCGTCTAAAGAGATTCTTGACTTAAAATAGAGTAGGTATACGAAAACTAGCGGAGCACGAGAAACGTTCTTTCTCGTTATTCCTCATCTTGGCCTTAATTTTTTTTTTTTTTTTTCCTCTATCTCGACCTTTCTTCACCAGAATGAAGGACAATTCTCTTATCTGCATTATTTTGGAGAAAATTATTGCAAAAAAAATAAGGTACAAAATTTTTTGTCTCTTTTCCAGCAAATAAAATAATTTGAAAATATATCCGCATGTATAGTACAGTATGTGATAAAAAAAAAATAACCCCAACTGAGTCTAGATCGTGTTTTCAATTTTGACATTTTCTTTTCCATCTTCATTTTACTGGTAGTAAGAAAAATAAGCGCACTAATGTTAATACATTTAAAAAACCTACTTTTACAGCGCAAATTCTTGCTAGCGCTGCAGAGACTTACACGTTTAGCTAGTAGAGAGAAGTACGATTTCAGAAGCGCTTGTCTTTCATGATTAGGGACGGCAGAGCGCTTGTAGATGGAGGGAAAACTACGGTAGCTCCAAAGGCAATGACACAGATAGGACAGCGATGTTCAGGTTTATTCAAAGTTATGATTGTGTATAGAGGATCTGTATACAAGTAATTCAAATTATTAAAAAACTTCAAAAGCCGCGAAAAGACTTTAAACTTTTTAACGAAAGTTTCAATAGTGCGTGTAGCTTGTAATCATTAAATTAATAATTGACAAGTATTTTTTGGTGTAAAAAAAAATAGTTCTAATAAAAAACCATCTAAAGAATATCTTGATAGATTTAAAGAAACACCAATACTAATAGAAGAAAGCTAATAGTAATAGTTTGTAATAGTGCATTGAAAAGAAATGCATTTTCAATTGAATTAAAATTTCACAAGTCAAGCATGATAACCAGCATCGGATCGGTTGAATGTAGAAAAAAAGTAATATTCCATTGGCCTTGAGAGTGCTGTTGCAAGCCGTTAAAAAATCTGCGAGCTCGAGGGTGAGCGAAAAGCACATAAATGCGCACGCAAACAAAATACGTACAAGTCCAGTATAGCCAGGCATGACAAACATCGAGCACTTAAAAAAACAACGCGCCGACAAAAGTACCCGAGACTGGACTTAGTGTAGGCTACGGAAGGGACCGAACGACGTCAAGACAAGGAAACGACAAACACTCGAGTAGGCTCTATCTTTCGAGGGGATGTTTCGACCCTTCTCTGAGAGCTCCTTACCCTCCTCGACGCGAACGTCACACGTGCAGGCTGAAAACAAAAGAAATGCCCACTCGTAGGTACTCTTGGATATTTTTTCACGGACGAGTTGCCTCGCCGTAACAAAATTGTACCAGAGATTTTATCACCTCACTTTCTATTCCATGCCCTGCAGTCATGTACGTAATCGCGTTTAACCCCCCAAGTTCAGGTAGAAAACATCGAATACATACGGTGGACCCTTTGGCCAACACATGATTTAAAGTCCATCAAAACCAGGCGAGGCAATATAACTACCACTTCTCGTTGTGTAATATAAACGCCAAACCGGCAACTTTGCTTTGCTGTCCGCAGACATCGACGAGTGTCTGGCAAACGAGGGTCGCGGTCCCTGCGAGGACACGTGTCGCAACGTCGCGGGTGGCTACTTTTGCTCCTGCGAGGGGCTCCCAATGGCCACTCTCGCGCCGGACAACCACATGTGTCAGGAGCCACCGGCAACGACTGCCCGGGACACTGGGGACGGGGTGGACGGAAGCCTATGCAATTACGACAACGCCGGGTGCTCGCACACGTGTCTCGCGAGCATGGGTCGGGTCTTCTGCCTCTGTCCCTACGGCTTCATGCTCGAGGACGACTGGAAGACCTGTCAAGGTGCGTACGCTTTTGAGCTTACCGCAAGTACCCGACGACCGTCCACGAGTCGTGAGGTAACAAGGAGACAGACGCCAAAGAATTGGTCCCGTCTCTTGCAAAAACAGACCTTTCCTCTCAAAGGACGAGCACGGCATATAATGTGATGCCTGCTAAGGAGGGAAATAATAAAATGTTGCGCAAATACCGGGATCAAAATGACGGTTAGTCTCGGCTAGCTACAGCCCTCCAAGGTTAAAGCATCTCCTCTTCTTTCAAAAAGGATGGAGCAGCCTAAGTATGGTGAACGATTTGAAAATGGGAAGTGAAAGCAGAGAAGATGGTAAAAAACGCAAACGGATCGAGAGAGGGGGAATTTTGGCGCATGATCTATAGCTCAATAATTCGCTCATGTGTAAATATCTTCCTTCGGGGGAGCCTATGATTATTATTATTTATTATCGTTTTGATGGTTGCAAATAAAGAAAAGAGGGAAAACGATGGTTTTGTTTCGTACACGTTCTGGTCGGTTTCTCTTTTTTTCTTGAAAATTTCAGATTAGCCTAGTTGTGTACATAAAGGACATTTTCTTCGATAAGATTGTAACGATAGTGATCGCAGGTAAAATGTGTTTTGAAAATATGTTGCCCGCTGCGATCAGAAAATTGGGAATCTCTCGAGTAACAGATAAAAAGATACCAAAAAAAAACACTTGATAGAAGATGAAGATTGATGTTATAATTGGTAACCAAAAATTAATGCCCGCACGTAGACGTCGACGAGTGTGCTGTACCGGATCTTCAGACGGAAGTCTGCCGGTGGGGCTGCATCAACACCCCAGGCTCGTACAGATGCACTCAACCACCTTTGCACGTGACTGCCCAGGACCTGGTCTGGGCAACTGTGGCTAAAAATAAAGGTGACTGCCGGTTCGGATTTGAGCCTTCCGACAACAAGAGCTGCATTGGTGAGTGTATCAATTGTTTATTAATGTCATTTTATTCGGTCATGGTTGCTCCACTGGTGTGTCTTACATTTAAGCCAAAGCAAAACACTACTTATTAAGGTCAACACAACCGGGAAAAAAGTTGTAAATTCAAAAATATTTTTCATACTTCTGCTATAAGAAAAATAAAAAATAAGTAAAAATAAAGTAGCTTACTTTTTCTCTGGTAAAAAAAGGCGTACTGTGAAGATTCAAAATTATTGGGTTTTTAAATTAACTTTGCTCCTTTTTATCATGAATATTCATCCTGGGGCAAATAATACTTTTTTTCATCTCTTTTTTAAACTGTTTTAAAGGTGTAACTCAACTTAAAAAATAACCTCCTTAGCAGGCATCACATTATATGCCGTGCTCGTCCTTTCCTCTCAAAGGACGAGCACGGCATATAATGTGATGCCTGCTAAGGAGGGAAATAATAAAATGTTGCGCAAATACCGGGATCAAAATGACGGTTAGTCTCGGCTAGCTACAGCCCTCCAAGGTTAAAGCATCTCCTCTTCTTTCAAAAAGGATGGAGCAGCCTAAGTATGGTGAACGATTTGAAAATGGGAAGTGAAAGCAGAGAAGATGGTAAAAAACGCAAACGGATCGAGAGAGGGGGAATTTTGGCGCATGATCTATAGCTCAATAATTCGCTCATGTGTAAATATCTTCCTTCGGGGGAGCCTATGATTATTATTATTTATTATCGTTTTGATGGTTGCAAATAAAGAAAAGAGGGAAAACGATGGTTTTGTTTCGTACACGTTCTGGTCGGTTTCTCTTTTTTTCTTGAAAATTTCAGATTAGCCTAGTTGTGTACATAAAGGACATTTTCTTCGATAAGATTGTAACGATAGTGATCGCAGGTAAAATGTGTTTTGAAAATATGTTGCCCGCTGCGATCAGAAAATTGGGAATCTCTCGAGTAACAGATAAAAAGATACCAAAAAAAAACACTTGATAGAAGATGAAGATTGATGTTATAATTGGTAACCAAAAATTAATGCCCGCACGTAGACGTCGACGAGTGTGCTGTACCGGATCTTCAGACGGAAGTCTGCCGGTGGGGCTGCATCAACACCCCAGGCTCGTACAGATGCACTCAACCACCTTTGCACGTGACTGCCCAGGACCTGGTCTGGGCAACTGTGGCTAAAAATAAAGGTGACTGCCGGTTCGGATTTGAGCCTTCCGACAACAAGAGCTGCATTGGTGAGTGTATCAATTGTTTATTAATGTCATTTTATTCGGTCATGGTTGCTCCACTGGTGTGTCTTACATTTAAGCCAAAGCAAAACACTACTTATTAAGGTCAACACAACCGGGAAAAAAGTTGTAAATTCAAAAATATTTTTCATACTTCTGCTATAAGAAAAATAAAAAATAAGTAAAAATAAAGTAGCTTACTTTTTCTCTGGTAAAAAAAGGCGTACTGTGAAGATTCAAAATTATTGGGTTTTTAAATTAACTTTGCTCCTTTTTATCATGAATATTCATCCTGGGGCAAATAATACTTTTTTTCATCTCTTTTTTAAACTGTTTTAAAGGTGTAACTCAACTTAAAAAATAATACGGTTGTATATTTGATGATTAAAAAAAAAAACTGCGAACGAAGAAAATCAATGGCCCCATAATACTACACTGACAGGCGTGAACAAGCCGTGAAAAATTTTTTTCCGTGAAAGGTACTATTTCTAAAAAATAGTAGTTTTCCTACGAGTTTGAAAAGTCTCTGTTTGCGAACCGAGAGGTTTGCGGCCCGAGCCGAAGGCGAGGGACGTAACGAGGTTCGTAAAGGAGACTTTTCGAACGAGTTTCGGAAAACTGCTTTTTCGCCCGAGGAAGTACCAGCCTCCCAAAACCACCCAAGGGCGGAAAAAAATAAAAAATCTAAATGGACATTTTTATAAATATTAATGCACGTGCATATCCAATTATCACAAGAATGGCCTGTCGATATTTCATTGTCAATTCGACTAAGCTCCACGGTCTTTTTTCATAGCTGTGACACTTAGTCAAGTATCATATATCTACATACACCGTAAAGCGCGCCTGTAGTTGACGTGCTTTTGGACCCTGAAGGAATAATAGCAAACGATCCATCAACTCTATCTGATTGATTAGATTAATACCTACAGCATATGTATGCGGGTACACATATTATGAAGCTAGGTGTTAGTCAAAGCCCAAGAACATAAGCTCATAGCAATATTTACATAATGCGTAATCGTTGTACATGGATTATTAAAGTAACGTAAACTGTTATCTACATACAAATTATTAGCAGTAATGAAATGATACAAATTACCGATAGTTACAAGTGTGATACTTATTTTTAATGATTAGCGCTTTAACCGTAGACTTGTAGCTATACCATATAAATAGTGGCGTAATCGTGCATGCATATACGGACGCTAAATGAAATTTTCAACAACTTCACGTATAACATTGGCTAATATAAACTGTAATAATGTATAACTGTCCAGGTTTTAAAAGTAATTTTTTTAATACTATAATAATCAAGCAGTTCAACTTCAACATCTTGTTTGATGATAAAGATTTCTTTAAATTAGTTAGAATAACAGGCTCAAAACAATTATATGCATCGCAAGTTAAGCAAATTAAACTTCCAAAAGGACGATGATAAAAAAATGTTGTGAAATCCTACTTCTTTTTATAATCATGAAGAATGATACAATTATTTTATTGATATTTGTTGATAAAAACCAGTACATTGAAAACTTTTGTTGAAAAATTCAGCTGCTGTGCATTCATACTCTGTTTGATAATTATGAAGAATGATACAATTATTTTATTGATATTTGTTGATAAAAACCAGTACATTGAAAACTTTTGTTGAAAAATTCAGCTGCTGTGCATTTTTATTACAAAATTTTAATTATTATAACAAAACAATTTATTTTGCACAAGNTTTCAAGAATTGGTTAAAAGAAAAAAATTTATAAAATTGAAAATGTGTGGCTTGGTGATGTGATGTGGCATTGTGCAGTGTAGAGGAAACCAGAAGTACATCATGAAAGCTGTGGCGAAGGGGAAGAGTAAAACAAAATTCACTTCCGTCAAACTTTTTTTCAAGGTCAAAATCTGAAATTTTTTATTAACCCTCGCGCATAACGCGCCTATAAAAGTATAACTTCAATAATTTAAAAAAGTCGTACTCTAAAGTTGCAAAAATATTGTTTTTTTTTAATTAACTTTGTTCCTTTTTATCAGGAATATTTATCCCATGGCAATTAATAGTTTAGGTATACCTTATAGTTAAAGGTATACCATAACATGAAAAATGGTACGGTTGTACATTTGATGCTTAAAAAGAATTGTGAACGAAGAAAATCTATTTCCCTATAATACTACACTGAGAAGCATGGATAGGCTATAAAATGTTTTTTTTTTTTTTTTTTCGTGAAAGGTACTATTTGTAAAGTAAAATGAAAAACCTAAATGGACATTTTTATAAATATTCATGCACGTGCATATCCAGATATCACAAGAATAGCCTGTAAATATTTCATTCTCAATTCGACTAAGCTTGCTGGTCTTTATTTATAGCTGTGACGCATAGTCAAGTATCATATACATATACACCTTAAAGCACTCCTATATTTGGCGTGTCTTTGGGAGATGTCAATAATTATACACCTAATAAGTAAAACAAATTAAATTTGTAAAGGGATAAAACTGAGTAAATGTTGTGGAATCATACTCTGTTTGATAATTATGAAGAATGATACAATTATTTTATTGATATTTGTTGATAAAAACCAGTACATTGAAAACTTTTGTTGAAAAATTCAGCTGCTGTGCATTTTTATTACAAAATTTTAATTATTATAACAAAACAATTTATTTTGCACAAGTTTTTACCATCTCCTGTAAGGCCTTCATGTTTATCTTGCCTGCAGGCGAGCGAGGTAATTTATCGAGAAAGATCACTTCAATAGTCATTCGTATGTATTTATTGAAATCTGGAAGTAATGCTATCAGTTCATCTGCTGTTACCTAGAAATTTTGTACATTTAAAAAAATGTTATTTAAAGTCTAAGGATTATTTTTAGTGAAATTATGTTTTACCTCTGATCCTAAGACTTTTACTGCAAAAACCATTAGTGTCTCAAAGTTGACATCATCTGATCCAGGTAAAACTGCAGCTTCAGCGACATTGTTATGTTCCAGAAGCATATCTTCTAATTGAGGCAGTGAGATACGACTGTGTTGGGTAAATACAATTCGACTTATGCGTTCAGTCAAAAATACTTCTCCATCTTCGGTAAAGTGCCCTAAATCCCCAGTGTGCAACCAGCCTAGATAATTCATAGATTATTGCACACAGAACTGTAGCTAAACTATTATAGTCACATCAGTTATTCAAAAAGTAGGTTTACCTTCTTCATCAATCAGTTGTTTGGTCTTTTCAGGATTCTTGTAATAACCAAGTGTCTTGAAATTCAGCTTGAAGCGAAGCTCGCCTACTTGATTCGGGCCAAGCTTGGATCCGGTTTTTGGATCTGTTACTTTCATTTGAATATTTCCAATAACGTATCCAATTGAATGTACTTTTGTATGGTGTCTGTGCTGAGCTACAACGACGCTTCCTGTTTCTGTTAATCCTATATACAAAACCAAAAATGATGTTTATTAATTGTTTTTGAAATATTGCTATTGATCTGATGAATATTGAATTCAAAATCTTAGGGTAGAACAGCAAAAATACACCCTTTATCGGAAAAAAAGTACTCAAAACATACTTTTATCCTTTATAAAATGAATTAAAATGTTGATTAACATCTTCTATTAGTTTTGTCTACATGTTACAAAATCTGTGATGAATAATAAGAATCGAAATGACTGTATAACATATTTTTATTGGACATATAACAGGAGCCCATGAGTTAAGACCGAAAATTTATGAGTGTATTATCCTAGGGCGAATAAAAGGTTATTGCATACTTTTTATGGTG